ATAAGCTTCTCAATCAACATTATATCACAAGTATATTATTTCACCCATTTTAGCATAAATTCAGGTTCAACACACAGTTCCAATCATACAAGTCATTATGCACAAATTAATAATCAACCAAAGAATTGTAACACTGGAAGACATCCTAACATGTTACAATTCCATGCAAACACAAATACAGACACAATACATGTGGTACCAACACGTGACCAAGTCACCCAACACTGATCCATCATCAACCGGATACAACAACCATCGATTCGTCCATAAACACCGGACACGAATCCAGCTGATCCATCATCAATCGGATACAGCAATCCATCGATTCGTCCATAAACACCGGACATGAATCCAGCCTAACCACCCATCATCACTCGGGTATCGGTTAACGGCAATACAAGTCAAATTCCACACAATGGGAATTAACTTCACCAAAACAATGCATATGCATGCACATCACCAGCATGCAACATCAAATCAACGGAATATGGTCACAACATAATTCCAAATAATTCCAAACCAATATATCACATGATCACATCTCAATCATAATGGATAGCAGGCACAACACATAAGTATCAGTTCTCATTCACCAAATCAGAACAATTTACAAACAATCCTACATCATTCTCAAAATACCAAAGTTTACAAAAATCGGGAATTCGACTCTTTTTAAAATAATTTTCATAAAATAATATTTTTCTTATTTTATAAGATAGCATTTTAAATTTAAGAAATACTGCCGAAAACGGCACTCAAATCGGACTTACGGTTTGAAAGTTATGAATTTTCAAAGTTTAATATTTTTCAAAAAGTTACGTTTCTGGAAAATGTACTGGAACCCGGTTCCTACCTATACAGGAACCGGTTCCTGCGACCAATTTTGCTAGTTTTTGTACGTTTACACAACGGAACCCGGTTCCTCCCTACTGGGAACCGGTTCCCACGACCTGCAGAGTCAAAATCTGCTATTTTGACAGCATTATTCATTCCAATCACACCCAATTTATACCCATACAAATTATAACATTTGGAACACCAAAATGCAACCAATACACATCAATACAACATCATAAATCATGTTTCCATCATTCCTATTAATTATTCATCACATTAATGGTTCCAATTCCTATACTCTGACACAATTAGGGATATTCCCACAAACCTAGAATTCCAAAATCGAGATTCCTAACATGCTTAATCAATTCTATTGATCTCAAAATCTATAAGGCATATTAAATAACTGAAATCACCCCTTACCTCGCGATGATCCTTCGAATTCACGGCGTTTGGCTTTTTCCTCTCTTCTCTTCTCTTCTCCAATTTCACGTACAATGACTTTCTCCCAATAACCTTCTTTTTCTTTTCCTTTTATTATTTTCCAAATAATAGAAATAAATTAGTAATTATTTAGTAGAGCTTTTTACTTCACACACCTCTAATTCAACCTTACACCCCCCGATCTTCCTTTTTAATTCCATAATTAATTCATCCATTTAATCCAAAATATTATTAATTAAGCCTTTAATTAATTTAATAATTAAATCCTAATTATTTAACACATGAATAAATTTGGGGTGTCACATGAACCACATAGTAAAACTGAACCAGCAATAGTTGTAGTGACAGAGTCACCATTAGGCATTGTCATAGATTTATGGGCAATGTGGTATGTGGAAACGAAACTGTCAAAGGTATGGGTGATGTGATCAGTGGCACCTGTGTCAATGATCCACCAGTTATGACAAGGAAGATTTGAGGAATTCTTACCAGAGGAATTCTTACCAGAGGTATTGGACACAGAATTAGCAGTATACACTGAATTAATCGAGGGAAGTGAAGGATATTGCAAATTAGATTGTTGGAGGAGCTGCAAAATCTGAGTGTATTGTTCTTGAATTGTAGACAAAGCACTTGGACTGGTGTTTGATGTGGATGCAGCATCTTGAATCGAATTCACTGTAGAATCAGCAGAATTCCCCACAAATGTAGTAGGCTTGCGTTGTTGAAATCCAGGGGGATAGCCATGTTTCAAGAAGCAAGTCTCAATGGTGTGATTGGTGCAGTTGCAATGGGTACAGAGTCTGTTTCCACGGCCACCACGGCCACGACCACGACCAATGTTGTGAGAAGAACGAGAAGGTGCTTGAGAAAGGTGATTTACAGATGATTGAGACTCAATCGAAGAAGCAGAAGGTGAAAGAAGGTCGAATTGACGTTCTTGTTGAAGAACCAGATTAAACATATTGTCAAGAGTTGGTAGTGGTTTCATCAGCATAATTTGGGATCGAACATTAGCGTATTGGTCACCAAGGCCCTTCAAGAACTTGATAACTTTATCTTGTTCTTTGAATTTGCGTAAGTCTGAAGCAGCACCACAAGAGCACGGTATAGCGCAAGTACAATCACGAATTGGCCGGAAGTTCTCAATTTCTTCCCAAAGCGTCATCAATTTTGTGAAGAACGAAGAGACATCAAGAGTTTCTTGTTGAAGACGAGCAACACTTTCTTGAATGTCAGCAATTCGAAAAATATCTCCCTGAGAAAAACGATTTTCCAAACTTTTCCATACAAGAGAAGCACGATCATACCATAGAAGAGATTTGGCAATTTCCTCAGAAATCGAGCGTTGAAGCCATGAGAGGACGAGATTGTTGCATCGCAGCCAAGGTTCGTATAAAGAATCAGAGGTAGGGGAGGAGAAAGAGTGCCATCAACGAATTTGATCTTGTTCTTGGAGATAAGAGCTACTTTCATTGATCTAGACCAGATCTGATAGTTCTTGGTATCAAGAATAGGTTGAACAAGAACAAGAGAGGGATTTTCATTAGGGTGCATGTAGTAAGGATTGGAAGGATTGGTTGCAAAAGAAAACATGACCAACAACCAATTATTGTCAATCACTAGCAATTTGGCTTCCTTGATTCTATCATGTTTCCAACCCTCAACTTCAGCACCTAAGTTGGATAGATGGATTTCATCATTATTATTAAAACGCGATTAATAGATTTGCTCCTGATGTTAATTCAATCATTTAAACATGGATGATAGTTGTAATATTCTAACAGCTGTCATGGAATCTCCATCAGGCCCTGCCTTTGTAGGTCTCTTTAGGAATATTCACGGTGATTCGATATGTGGAACTTTTGGTTAGTTTTCATAGTTTGACTGTTGCTTGGGATATGAAACTATCATGCAGTATAGTGCACGTTTATATTGTTACTAGTATAACTAGAGTTTTTGATTTTCTGCAATATATCAAAGCAGTATGGAAGCAAGCATAGATGCAGGATGGAAGTAAATAGTATGGAAACTGTATAGTTTCAAGTCCCACATCGAAAAATATACTCTAAATGAAAGAGTTTATATAGCTTTCTCATACATTATTTGTCAATAAAACAATTATGTACTATTAAAAAAATATTGAGCTTTTTTTATAAAAAAAATAGCTTAATTGTAACTTTGGTCCCTCTATTTTTTATTATTTCTGATTTTAGTCCCCCCATTTTAAAAATCACGATTTTGGTCTCCTTTTGAGTTTTCTATTAAAAAATAAACAAAAATAGAGACTAAAATTGTAGAAAAAAACAAAACAGGGGGACGTAAATTGCACAGAAAACTTAAAAAATGGACTAAAATAATAGTTTTTAAAATGGGGGGACCAAAATCGAAAAAAATACAAAATAGAGGGACTCAAATTTTAGGATCCAATGTGGAATTTTGGAAATTGTAGTAATCAAAAGTCATTTTCTACAGACAACACCACTATTCCATTGCAGAACCATTAATGATGATTGCTACGGAAACTACAGTGGAGTGAAGCTTCTGATGCATTGCATCGATGTGACACTATTGATTGAAGATTGCGATCATAATGCTTTTTGAACCAGAGGTATCAATATTGATGTGATTTCATTAACAAGTGTTTGTTATCTCAGATACGGTGGACCTAAGGGGAGTACCTGCATGGTTAACACTCTTGTTGTATATTAGATCTAACTCTGACCCGACAAGGGTAACTTTCATGGTTTGACAGAGGTTAAACATGTTGTCGAAGTTTATTCACATGCTGATGTGGAAGTTCTTGCATGCTGTAGTTGAAGTATGCTCAAGCATGCAGTAATCGAAATGCTAGGATTGTTAGCATATCGAATTGGGTCTGTTTGTTTAGCCCAATTGTTTAAGGTAGCTTGTTACTTATGTTAGCTTAGTAGTCTATAAATAGACTAGTTATCTCATGTTGTTGAGAGAGATTGATTTTGTTATTTACTTGTAATCTTTGAATCCTTATTGAATAAGTGAATAATAAAATAGTTAAAATCAATCCTGATTTTCTTCTTTTTCTTTCATATTCTCTCTTTTGCAAATTCTAATAGGATTTCTTGTGTTGTTCAAGAAACTTACTCTTTCTCATAGTTTTGAGTTGTTCTTGACGGCACTCCGAAGCAACAACTCCAACACCCAAATCAATTTAGAGTTCAAGATAATGGAAATGGAAGTGGAGAATAGAAATCATGTATTTGAGACCTATTTACAAAAAGTATTTATACCTTAAAATTGATAGAGTAGACTGAATAATTAGTATGGTACTATTGAACCTTTGACCGATGCAGAAAAAAATAAAGATAGGTTTACAATTTACAAATGCTGTTGGGTGTTTTATGTTTTCGTCTTGGTTAATGCTGTTGGGTGTTTTATGTTTTCGTCTTGGTTAATCGTATGGGGAATCAATGTCTAAACTTATTATTTAAAAATAAATACTACAAGGTAACTTGAATACATATAATTCATCATTAAGATACCTTAAAAAGTAATTGATGAAATATATTTTCAATAAAAATCATCTCATTTTTATATTTAAATATTTTTCAACATTTTATATTTCTTAAATTTATAAACAAAACACTCACAATCATTAATTTAAAATCTTATCTGTTTTTCAACATCTTTAATATGGCAAAGTATGATTTACAACAATCACGTGCACCCTTAATAGCAAGCTAGATTGCAATTGGGTGTGTTTTGGGTTCAATCATAATCTCCTTCTTCATTTTTCTTATAAATTCTTCAAACTTGCGGTTGAGTTCATCTGTATTAATATCTCTCAATTCTTCTTCTTCTTCTTCTTCAATTGCAGCTTCATTCTCTGAACTTTCTTCTTCTTCTTCATCAATTGCAGCTTCATTCTCTGAACTTCCTTCTTCTTCTGATGACACTAGTTGTTCATAAAATTCTTCTTGCTTTTTCTTCACTTGTAATTTATTATGTTCATCTTCAATATCAACCACAAAATCATTAGAAAATTGAGATTGAAAGTAGTCAAAGTAATCAGAAGAAGAGGAAGTGGTGTTGGCTAGAAATGCAAGGATGAGATTACAGATAAGGAACATGTATTTTTTTTCAAGTATGGAGAGAAGGCACGTTGCATTGAAAGAATTCTGAGGGGAGTGTATGTAGGAAATGGCAGAAGAGTAGCATACAAACAAAACAAATATAGAAACTGAGAAAACTAACTGCATGATTGTTTTAAAAAATTCGTACTTGTTCATTTTCTTAGAATATTGACTAATATTGGTCTGATCGTTTAAGAGAGAAATTTAGGGGATGATGAACTTGAAATTATATATATATATATATATATATATATATATATATATATATATATATATATATATATATATATATATATATATATATATATATATATATATATATATATATATATATATATATATATATATATATATATATATATATATATTAAATTTGTTGGGTTGAATAGTTGAAATAGGATTAGGGGATATAAGATTTCTATTTATAGGATGAAGGCAATACGACATAAAATATGTAGAATAAAACATAAATATGTGAAACTTTTAAAATTAAACATTCCAAACAGCCTTAATAAAAATACTTGATAATAAATTCATGAGACCTAAATACTACTACACCTTATTGTTATGCAACTCATTATAACGTTAGAATTCTACTCTTATTTTAGTTTTTATCGATTCTTGACTCTTATAATGAATCTTTTTGCTCTAGTTTTTTTCTTTTCTTCTCTGTTCTGCGATCTTCTCTGTCCTTTTTTTTTTCTATGTTGTTTTTCTTCTTTTCTATTCTCACTCTATTTTATTCTAAGGACTCCTAAATCATAATACCAACCTTGTCCTTCCCAATTTAATAAATAATCATCTAATTAACCATAAAATAATAATAATTCTATTTAATTATTATACTATAGTATTAAATCTAATATTTTAATCCAAATAATGCTAATAACTAGTTATCTCTTTACACCTCATGTTTCTACACTTACTTTTGGTCATACACCCCCATTATCTCAACTCCAATAATTTCTAAGGCCACTAATTCCCAACGAAATGCATCACAGATACAATGAAATCGGAGTGTTACAAATCACTTGTCCTGCTTAGTTTGCCGATTTTTCTAACCACAAAGCAACCAAATTAATACTGGAAGATCTAACTTTGAATCAAAAAAGGAAAATCTTGTCGGATGATAATTATTATGTGTGGGATGAGCCTTACCTTTTTAAGCTTGGTAGTGATAATTTTTGAGAAAGTGTGTCACAATTGAGGAGTCTAAAAGCATTCTTTGGCATTGTCACAATTCTCCGTATGGAGGTCACTATAATGGTTTGCAAATGGCAACAAAAGTCCTCCAATCGAGCTTTTATTGATCATATTTGTTTAAATATGCTCACTTACATGCGAAGAATTGTGACAATTGCCAAAGGAGTGGCGAAATAGGGAAACGAGATGAAATGCCCCTACATAGTATGTTGGAAGTTGAAGTATTAGATTCTTGGGGTATAGATTTCATTGGACCATTTCCTCCATCATTTTCTAATGAATACATTCTAGTAGCGGTAGATTATGTGTCAAAGTGGGTGGAAGAGACCGCTTCACAAAAGGCCGATGGCAAAATGATGATTAAGTTGTTAAATAAAAATATATGTTCTTGTTTTGGTATACCTATAGTGTTAGTGAGTGATGGTGGATTGCACTTTTGCAATACACAACTTGAAAAAGTTTTAGAATATTTTGGTGTAAAGCATAAAGTAGGGACACCATACCACCCACAAGTGAATGGTCAAGCCGAGGTGTAAAATAGAGAGGTGAAGATATTTTTAGAAAACAACTATGTCAAGTTCGGATGCATGACTTTCGTAAGTATATGAATCGCGTCAGAGTAATATAAAAGATTATAGATCCCACCGTGACCAAAACGCCAATCTATCAAATTCTATTATCACTATGTTCATCTAAGGCAGATCAAATCAGGGTTTTATAGAAGGCAGAGTAAATAAAGTAAAAGATTTCAATTCAGATAAAAGCAACAAGTTCGAATGCAAATCACAATAGTCAGATAATACTCTTAAATGCTTCTAATAGAACTACTTATGGGGCAATATTTCCTACTTTGAAAAGAACTAATTTAACAGGAATTGTCGCTTTCGCGTATTCGGAACCGAGTTTATTCTTTAAATAATGCCTTTTTATTGTCACGGATAAAAGGTGCGTATTGTGTTAAAGTAATAAACCTATTTTTAAGAAATATAGTTACTTGACTAAGTTGAAAAGTGATTTTGACTCAGAATTTCTAACCAAGAGATGATTAGACTTTTAAACCTATAAACGCGTCCGACAAAGGTTTTGAAATCATTTCTTCTAAAAAGTTAAAGGTTCTTACTTAATTGAACAAAACTCTTTCGCTCTCTTTGAGCAATTAAGACTAACCAAGTTTATCAATGGTTGGAAAGCTCTCGATCTTACCCAAAAGAAAATAAAGTGTAGAAAACTTGTGTTAAAAACAAAAACAGCCCCTAAAGTATTTCTACAGATGCAATGTTTAGACAATTACCTTAACCATGATCATTACATTCTAACCCTAAAGGAAACTAGCTAGACATGGAAATAAAATTATCAAAGAAAATCATGTTTAAGAAGAAAGTAAAAAGGTTAAAAGATAAATAAATGCGATGCGAGAAAATAAACAAAGTAAAGCAAGTGCGATGTGAGAAAATAAACAAAGTAAAGCTGAAGAATGGAAAAACACAAGAAGGGGAGTTGAATTGGAATCTTAAAACTTAATGAAAAGAACACGTTGATTTTTATCCTGGTTCGTTTGAACTCAAACTACTCCAGTCCATCCGCCAAGGTGATTTCGCCTCTCTCCAACGAGGTCTTAATCCACTAATAAATCTTGATTACAAATCTACTTTGTCAAATTCTAAAGTCTTCTTGAGTGTAACCACAACCCGGTTTTTCTCAAGGAATATCTCTAAACAATGTATGAATAAAAGTGTACAGTAGTATTTCTAATTAAACAGTATCACAAGACAATGATGTTTTACACAAAATTTGAATGTTGAACGTTTGAGGATAAAAGATGATAGCAGTGTTGTTGTGCGTGTGTAAATCATGAACGATTTATCCTCAGGGCTTGTTTAAATAGGCGAATCATGGATGAGCATTTGGAAACTTGATCAATGACAATTAAGGCACTTTCCAAAAATAAAGATCATTGTTCCCTTCCAACCGTTACTCTTGAATTAGAAATATTTGATTTGTAATGCTTCATAAAATTGAAGTATCCATTGCTGCTTGCTTCAGAACTATGGAGATCAGAGCCACATAATCCTGTTTGCAACGTTAGAACTTCTTTCAAAGATTTTTATAATCAGAGTTGAAACAACGTTTTAGCGCATCTTCTGATCTTCTTTCATCAGAACTTGTTGAGAGATGTTTACAATCACAGCAGAAACAACTTTGTAACTTATCTTCTGATCTTCTTCCATCAGAACTTCTCTACAAAACAAAATATAATTTTAGGGAGCATAAATGTTCTTTGCTTTTGTTATCATCAAAACTCTTACAAGGGTTGTAGAATCAAACTATGTTCTAACAATCTCCCCCTTTTTTATGATGACAAAAACTAGGATATTTCAATAAAAACAGACAGAACATAAAGCATTATAAGATCTCCCCCTGAGTTGAATACTCGGATAGAGAAAAAATACTTCCCTGAAGTTTATTCTGATCAGAGCTTTTGATGGAGCTTTTGATGCATCAACTTCTGTCTTTACCAAAGTTTTGTTCATGTTTTACTTTCAGAGCAAGAAATGAGAAGTTATGATATACAAAATGTTTGAGACTGTGTCTTGATACTGTTATTAGAAATATATTATGTTCTCCCCCTTTTTGTCAAGAATAAAAAAGTAATATAAATACATTTAAGCAATAAAAGTAGAGTTGTATTAAAATGGATTGCAAAAAACACATTCAGAAGCAAACAACACAAAAAGATTGAATACAATACATACTTTTTTTTTCAAAAACTAAGATTGAGGTGGAGGAAGTTGTGTGAACATGGATTCCAACAAGCTCTTAATCTGTGTGTTTGACTCTTCTTGTTTTCCCAGCATTCCTTTGATTTCCTTGCATGTGTCATCTTGCTTTTCTAATCTCCCTTGATCACTGCATTTTCTTTCTTCAGCTCCTTCAGAGTTTGCATAACTAGAGATGAAGAAGGTATATCAGCAGAAGGTGCCACCTTTTCAGAGCAGGCTGTGGCAGATTCTGACTCAGTAGCTTCTTCAATTTCTTTTCCTTTGTCTTAAACTATTACCAGAGGAAGATTATTAGAGCATGGTTCATCAACTTCTGAAGGCTGGTGATCTTCCCAGGGGGGCATTGTCCAGCAGAAGAATAGGTTTCTTTTTCCAGTGGTGCAAAACTTGATCCTTGAAAACATTCAGCTGATCACAAAAGTTCTGTTGGGCCATTTCATAGCTTAACTCCTTGAGTTTCTTGGATTCAGAGTCGAACCATTTTCTGAACTGGTTCTAGTGAGAATCAGAAGCAGCATGATTCATATTTTCTAAGCAGGCTAGCTTCAAAGAGTTAACCCATTCAATTATCTTTGTTTAAAAAATCTGTAAATTTTTACCAATATCTGCCTTGGTGATAGTTGGTTTTGGTTTTGGATAGCAATTTTGTGAGAGCTAGGGGCAAGGTTATCCAGTGCTTCTAAGTCTATTAAAATTCGTAGGTGATCTTCTGGAGGGTTGATAGGAGAGGGAGAATCAGAAATGATAATGGGCGAGGGAGGTGCGTTTGGTGGAATGGAATGGTAAGGAGATGTAATTTTTGGAATGTCGTGGATTGAGAGAGGTTGTCGAACCATGAGAGGTTCTGTTATTCCAGGAATGGGTGAAGTGATATCAGAGTCAATATTTGGATTTTCTGGTTGGGGAGCGTGAAAATTTGGATTTTCTGGTTGAGAGTCTTGGAACACCAGATCAAATTGATCAATATCAGAAAGAACATGAGCATGTTCTGGCTGATTTTGGTCAAGATGTGAG